TGCAAATAATGAAGCATACTCGATGCATTGATAAAGTTCTGTGGCTATTGATAGGGTCGGTTATAGTTTGATTGTTGGAATTTTTGATAGCAACTGTGGGATATCATGCAAGGATGGTATTATGGGGTGAAGCCTGTACTGAAATAAGTCTGTGGGATGACAGGGAGGTTTCATGAATTCCAGGTCTCTGAGAACAAATTACTTTAACAATTTATAACCGGACCTAGTAGAGTGAAGCTTTTAGAGTATTGCTTCTAGCAAAGGAAAGTGATCTNTAGCATACTCTATGCATTGATAAAGTTCTGTGGCTATTGATAGGGCCGGTTATAGTTTGATTGTTGGAATTTTTGATAGCAACTGTGGGATATCATGCAAGGATGGTATTATGGGGTGAAGCCTGTACTGAAATAAGTCTGTGGGATGACAGGGAGGTTTCATGAATTCCAGGTCTCTGAGAACAAATTACTTTAACAATTTATAACCGGACCTAGTAGAGTGAAGCTTTTAGAGTATTGCTTCTAGCAAAGGAAAGTGATCTGATAACTCAATGGTTGGGGATGCGAAAGGGATCTTAGTGCCATGCTCTAAGTTATTGAGACTTTTTTTTTTTTGTTATTGTTGGGGATGAATTGAGACTTATTTATAATTTTGGTTATTCCAAGAACCTGAATAGTTTAGAGTACCACCCCATCAACCATTATCTTGTTTAGGGAACATTAATTCTTTTCCAAAACAAATTCAGACAATGTAACACATAATTGTTTACCTTTACCAAATAAAATATATAAGTATAAAAACCTTTCCCTATAATGTTGATTTGTCAGATTTCAGGGCAATTCTTGCCGACTTTCTACTACTTAAACAGATCTTATCCTAACTTATGCGCATTCTATGTAACAAGAATATCAGTTGGAATGTACACAAATGAAAAAATCTGAGATTACTTGCAAATTTATCATCTCTNTGCATCTTCAGTAGTTCAGTGATACTTCTAAATATGTATTTTTTGTTTTTTTTTTTCCTTTCAAATAATGGACATGACTTGTACTTGAAAACATTTTTTTTTTTGGTATCTGAAAGGAGATTTTACTTTGTGTGTGCCCGTTGCATTGTTGGACTTTTGATGTCGAAGTTATGAAATTAGAGATAGTAAGTTGCATGCATGTAAGTTGGATCATCTGGTAACGATGGAAGTCTATTTTCAAAAACACGGATGAGAGATGCCAATGCTTAGTTTATGGCTTGCAGACATAAATTGTGCCTGTATTCTAATAGTGATTTGTTCAATTTTAGGAGGGTGTTCAATCAGATCGAGAAGGATTTTATTCACAATATTTGATTTGAGAATCAAAATCTATGACTTTCTGGTTGTGGTTTTCAATTCTACACTTAATTGGGTAAAGGAATGACAATTTAGATGGTTTTTTATGGGTTACAAACCATTGATTTTTGGTGTTGAAAAACTTGGAATGGTTTTAGTTTGTTCAAGTTGAAAGACCTGGCTTTAAACAAGCAGGCCTTGCAAAGTATGTGTAGGTGTAATTTTGATTGTGGCCATATAGTTCAAAGGACAAACTTACTAAGTTCATTATCAATTGGTATGCCTATTGTTGGTGTGAAGGGTTGTCAAGGGCAGATTATGTGCAGCAGATTGAACAATGAAGTATATTAGTTTTGTGGTATTATGCCTCTGCTATCGAGATGGATGATAGAGACACAATGGTATGCAAATAATGAAGCATACTCGATGCATTGATAAAGTTCTGTGGCTATTGATAGGGTCGGTTATAGTTTGATTGTTGGAATTTTTGATAGCAACTGTGGGATATCATGCAAGGATGGTATTATGGGGTGAAGCCTGTACTGAAATAAGTCTGTGGGATGACAGGGAGGTTTCATGAATTCCAGGTCTCTGAGAACAAATTACTTTAACAATTTATAACCGGACCTAGTAGAGTGAAGCTTTTAGAGTATTGCTTCTAGCAAAGGAAAGTGATCTGATAACTCAATGGTTGGGGATGCGAAAGGGATCTTAGTGCCATGCTCTAAGTTATTGAGACTTTTTTTTTTTTGTTATTGTTGGGGATGAATTGAGACTTATTTATAATTTTGGTTATTCCAAGAACCTGAATAGTTTAGAGTACCACCCCATCAACCATTATCTTGTTTAGGGAACATTAATTCTTTTCCAAAACAAATTCAGACAATGTAACACATAATTGTTTACCTTTACCAAATAAAATATATAAGTATAAAAACCTTTCCCTATAATGTTGATTTGTCAGATTTCAGGGCAATTCTTGCCGACTTTCTACTACTTAAACAGATCTTATCCTAACTTATGCGCATTCTATGTAACAAGAATATCAGTTGGAATGTACACAAATGAAAAAATCTGAGATTACTTGCAAATTTATCATCTCTCATCTCTCAGGATTTGTGTGTACACAAGATTGGGGCGGTTGCAAAAAGCTCGAATCTGATGAACAACACTACAATGGCTCGATACTCCCATCATCCAAGTGAAACACACCTGTGTCATGCCCCCCAAAAATGCCATCCTTATATCCATCTGTGTTATCATCAGTGAAGTAGATGCAATTTTCTTTCAGTCCTTCAACACGACGAGTCGACAGTGATGCTGATTGATTATGGCCTAGGAAAATTGCCCATTCGCCTATGCCTCTGATCCTGTCATGTAGTTTCACATAAAAATCAACCTCATAAACCTTAAAATTACGCGTTCTATAGCCAAAATCCGGACTCTGTTCCAGAAACCGAATAACTATATAGAGCTCCTCGTCTAATTCCACGAGATACACCTTGTTACCCTGAAAGAACCATGGTGGCACCATCTCTTCCACCACTGGGGAATTACCCAGTTCCCTAATGGCATTAACTTTTCCACACTCGTTTACAGCATACAAGACCTTGTCACAGAGTACAGCATCATCATAAAAAGACCCAGCATCTTGAAGCGAAGTCCACGAATGGTCTCCTTCTTTATGGAACCCTAGTTTTCTGGAGTCTCCATAAATTACCATGACACTATAACCTTCCAAGTTGCCATCAGGATTCGAAACTAGAATAGCTTTATGAATCAAAACAGTTGATGCTTTGTCCAAGACTTGCATGGATGCGTCTGCTTGATCAAGAAAAGAAGAGACTGAGGGAAGCTGGATTTGGGCTCTGGTGAGAGGATTTAACATAAAGATTTCAAAATTATTTCCGACTATAATTAGCCATCCACCTGATGATCCGCATATTCTCTTCCCTTGAGCATCTAGTTGACTCAAGTGGTGAAATTTGTTGCTTGAAATATTGAAGCAGCAACTGAAATCTTCGGTGCTGTTATTGTAATGGCAGCAGTGAGGAACCATAAACTGTGACGGGGTGTCTGGAGCTTGTGATCTTTTTGCAGAATCAATAACTTCGGAAATTTCCGTCATCAGAACTATTCTCTGGATCGTCATCGAAAAAAAACTAATCTCTTAGCATTGGGAGAAACTTAAAAACAATTGGTTCATAGATATCCTCTTTCAATATATATTATGAATCCTTGTTTGAGTATGAAAGTGAAAACCTTGCATTTGAATTGATAATTAATAGAGTTCTTTGGGTGGCACGTTTGCTTCTTTGGCAAGTAAACATTGCTAGACTTTTTTTTTGTCAAACTATATTTATTTCTTTCCACCAAAGACATGGCTTTGCCATATAATCTGTTAGAGGTAGACTTCAGAGTCTCGATTTTGGGCTCCGTCACATTTGGTCTGAAAAATGGCTGAACACAAATTGTATGGATCGTATAAAGTAATGGCCATTGGGCTTGGGTTACCAGTTGAGGCCCATCTTGGAATGTGACTTGATAGAGCGTTTTAGGGAAGACTCCGTCCAGTGTAAATAGAGGTATCAGGCACGACTTATTAACGCGAGGACTAGGGATATCTATGGGCGGGTCATCCATGGGTTTCGTTATTTAGTCCAAAAAATAAACCTGAAATCTAATAGTTGGCCCGTCTGAGTCCGAACTAAATATCATTTAAAAAAGAGCTTGAGTTAACCTTTAAACCCCACTACTCGGCCCAAAGCCCAAAATCCGGCCCAATAATCTGCCCACGAAAACCCGCCGGCCTAGCCCCAATAACCCGTTAGAATTCCTGGGGTTTCTCGTATTTACTGGAAGATTATACTGCACTCCATGAAGTAGTTGGAGAACTTCATTGCATTAATTCTGACATTCTGAGAACAGTTGGTTCAAGGACTTCATAAACATTAGGGGCTGTCTAGTAGTAGCAACCTACAATCATCTTTTGTTGTTAGCTTTTCTTCCGATTAAAAAAGAAACAAAAAAAAGGTACTTTTTCTTAATTTGCACTACGGTGTTGTTAGAGGTGAAAGTGGTTTAACGCAATAATAAGCTTGCTGGTGGGTTTAACGCAATAGTAAGCTCGCTCAGTTGTGATTTGTGCATTAGAGCGTGAGAAGTCCGTCCAATAAATGATGGGTTGGATTACGGATAATTTATTATTATCCAAAGTTTGGCTTGATCCACTCGATAATTCGTCTAAATAAGGACTTAGACCTATATTATCCAAGCATGACCCGAAAAAATTTGCAGGCCGAATCCCGTCCGGCCCGGCCCATGGACAGCCGTAGCAATTAGGTAAACAAAAAATGAAATTTGTTGATTTGAATTTTTTTTTTAAGTCATTAATTTTGTAAACGGGAGTGGAGTTAATTTGACATGATTAATAAAAAAATTTATATGTGAAACGGTTTATTAATCACTTTAATCATTAGATTGACCCTCGTGGGGCTTGATTGTAACATATAAGCGTGGTTGTTTTAAACAAGATTTTTGCAAATAGGAGTATTATATAAAATTTTTACGAGACTAATTTATTAGAATTGAATTTTAATGAATTCAAGTGTGATAAGTACGTGAATTCGCCGTACTCATGAGTCATGGGTCCACTCAACGTGTATTATGATATAAACTCTGACAAAAACCGTAAAGCTAAAAGCTTAACCGGTTATCACCCAAACATGGCCGTTGACTGGTCGGATCTCCGACCAGAATTGCTCGAAACTATCGCCAGAAAACTCACAGTCCTCGGCGATTACATCCGATTCCGAGCCGTCTGTGTCAATTGGGGATCGTCAACCCCAAAAACCCCAAAGCACCTTCCTTGCCAACTCCCATGGCTCATGCTCCCTCATAACCGGTACAGCCTAAGTAGCTGTCGAGCATTGTATAGCCTCACCGACAACAAGGTCTATGCCCTCAATCTTCCCGAAGCCTCTCACCGCCGTCGCCTATGCGGTTCATCGCACGGTTGGCTCATAATCCTCGAAGAATCACCGGCTATTTTCATTATAAATCTCCTAACAAGAGCTAAGATTAATCTTCTTCCGTTGTCGGCGTTTCCGAATGTCATTGACTTCAATTTCTCCGATGTGGGCCGTGAATATAAGCTTCGTGATCCTGATGGTGATGTCTATACTCGAAATTTAAAGGAAATGCGCGATTCCTTTGTGAAAAAGATGATCCTTTCTTCGAGTCCTCTGAATGATTCAAATTACATTGCTGTGGCGATACTTAATCAAACAGGTGATCTTGCTTACCTTAACAATGGTGAACCATTTTGGAGATTTATACATGAAGCGCATTCATATTGCGAGGATGTTATTTATTACAATGGGCTGTTCTATGCTGTGAACAAATTTGGAGGCATTGCGGTTTGTGATTTACAGGGTGATTCACCTAGGGTTTCATTTATTGATACACCAAGACATACCGTTGGGGATATGGAATATTTGGTGAATTGGATGGATGAATTATTATTGGTAACGCGATATTTAGAACTTGAATTTGATGTTTACCTTGATATTGCATATAAGACAAGCGAATTTCGAGTGTTTAGGCTGGATTTGAGTGGACCTAAGTGGGAGAGGGTGACAAGTTTGGGTGATCGGGTGTTGTTTTTGGGGGAAAGTTTATCCTTGGTGTTGTTGTCTTCTGATTTTCCCGGATGTAAAGGGAATTGTATCTATTTTGCAGATGATTACTCGGAGGCTAATTATGATGGTGGTAGTGGGGATCATGATTTGGGTGTTTACTACTTGGAAGATGGTAGTATTGAAGCATTGCTGGGTTTTCCTCGCAATTCACAGACTGGATTTCTTTGTTCTCCACCAATTTGGGTTTCTCCCAATTTGTGTTAAGCGTGTAAGTGCAATTGTTTAAATTGCTGTATTTTTAAGCTTTAATGTGCCTATTTTCACCTGCCAGATTCTGTAAATAATTAAATACACATAAGTTGTACCAT